TTCAGAGAGGTTCCTAATCACTAAGACACAGGATTTTATAGGGCTGCCTTGTACAAGTCTTACCACCTTGCAGAAATAATTAAACAGTCCTAGGAGCAAAGTTTAAACCCAGGTGTTTGATTTCTCAAAGGAGTGTTTTACACCCCGCGATAGAGAATTCTCTGACCTACGTAATCATTTAAGTATTCCATGCAAATCAGCTGACATGGAAAAGAGTGACAGTATCCTCTCCAAACATATTTCCAAAATCTTTAGTGTGGGATACAGAAGGATGAATTTCCAGGAGGTCCAGCAGTGGGTGAAAGACAACTAATTTGAAAGAAAAAGTATCCACAAAACCAAAGTGCAATTATTTTTTCATGTTCTATCTTGTTCTCATGCATGTTATTCTGAAATATTGTATTATTCTAGTTGTTACTTCACCTAGTTTATCTCTACTGAAGCTATTCGAGCTGTTTATCTTCTTGTATCTTCAGTGTTTTTATTCCTGAGAAAGCATAGTTGAAACCTGTCTCTTGTTCATCTTCCTGCTCTGTGGGATGCCACATCTGAGTTAGGTTTAGGCAGAACTTCAGACCTGATGTAACATACTTAGAGGATTTTCCTATTTTTAAAAAGACAGAGCATCCTTAGGGTTTTATAACATTTCCTGGATGAGTCAATAGGAAGAAATGTTCATCATTGCTTAATGGAAAACAGGAGTCCTCCTGCTAAGAGAGAAATGCAGCACCACAGGATTTTTTATTTTATTGCTTTATATTGCAAAAGATCTGCTTCCAAATTCTCTGAGGCTGGAGAAACTTCAGGTACCTGGAAAATAGAAATATTCCTTGTCTTAAGTGGTTCAAAGAACTAAATTTGAAAAGGAACATAAAAAGAAACAAATAGAGGTTTATGAATGAATGCAGAAGAAATTATTTGTGTGTGTGCTCTGAGGACATAAATATCTTTTGTGAGGAAGGTTTGCACAGAATTGGCCACAAAGAGGAAAACAAGCTTAAAGTGTGGTCTGTTTGCAAGAAAACTTAGTAAGGGTGACATTCCTGAGACTTAAGAATTCTTTCTGTCAGGAAAGTTCAGTTTCAGTTTGTGGCCCATAAATATTTAGTAGTTTGCATTCAGGAGCAATAAAATATGAATTTAAGATCAAAAAAATGGTATTTGGTGCTATGTCCTATGCTAAAAGGAGTAGTTCTGAACTATTTGGAGAAATAGGGTAGATCTGTTCAGTGTTTTCCATAATTATGTTCAGTTCATCTGATCCCCTGGTCACAAGATTTTGCTGCACTAGAACTGTGGTTTTAGGTGCGAGTACTAAATCAGTAAAGAACCTGTAGTTCTGAGAGCACCACACAATATTCAATATTCCCAAATCACCCTGAGCTCCTGTGTTGGAAAGAACAGGAATTTGCTGCATTGCTGGAAAAGTGCTGGCATATTTAATGCAAGCAAGGGCAGCTTGCACACCTGATGTATGCGATGAGCTTGTACCCACCTGGCAAAGTAGAAATCACAGAGTTTAGGCACGTGAACTGTTAAGTGGCAGCTCTCAGGCAGTAAGTGCCCAGTGAAGGCTAAACTAATCCAAATTACCTTCTGTTTGCCATGGGCTAGGAGTAGGCACAAAGGAAGTTATTGCACATCAGCTGCCAAGTGATGGTTTTATTGCTTGCTGTAGCTTGCCTGTTTGCACCTGAGCCCCAAGAAACAATCTGTCCTTTAGAGACAGCCTGTTTGTGCCTCTCCCAGTGGAGTCTTGGTCTGTGAGGGGCACTATGACAATTGGTGAGTGTAGGTGAGAGCGATCTGCTGTGCTGCCTCCCAATCTTAGACTAAATTTGTGATCTTCACTTGAATTTTCAGTGCATAAAACATGACTATCCCTGTCCCTATCCTAGCCATCTCATTCTGTGCTTCCAAACTATTGATTGGATTAATATTCCATACCTAATAATGTGTATTTCTCTTCTTCCCTGAGACTGGTAGGAGCTTGTCATCTCCTCTGCAGATAACCAGCTTGTACTCTCTCCACCCCTCCCCCCAAAAAATGTCTGGGTACCCATGTGCTGATTATGTCTGCAAGATCTCTCCTTCACCCAAAACTCATAAGGATACTTTCCTGGTGTGTCATGTCAGTCTAGACTGAACTGCAGTAAGTTAAGAAATGGTGCACTTGATACAGATGTGTTTGGCTACTCTAGAAGATTAAATTAATTGCAATCATCTAATCTATTGTGGTCCTTCTGGTAGCTCACAGATCAGATGTTGTACATGGAACACATCTGTCATCCATCCATCCATCCATCCATCCATCCATCCATCCATCCATCTCTTTTAGCCCAGTGAAGACCATAGGAAGGTTCTTGCTCAGGAAAAGTTGCACACCCTTTGCTTATGGAATAAGGGGAGGTGCTGCTGCCAGGGCTGTGTGGCAGATGCTGATGGAGCCAGAGCTCCATCCAGACATTATGCAACAATGCAGGGAGTGTTGGTGCTGGTTGTGGCTGGAATGCATCTTCAAGACTGCAAAGTTTTACATGAGATTGAATTGTTCTGGAGTTGTCTGACTGACACCTTCCTTCTGCAGGTCATGAGCTTCCATGAGTTATGCCAGCTCTGAGCTGAGGAACTGTTTGAGATGGAGTGTAATCATGTTCTGAGCATGCCCTGGTGACAGAGAATCCATCAAGGTGTTTAAGTCATGCAGTCATTAATGACTTTGCTATGTGCCTCATTTTTCACCTGGCTTTGCCTGAATTTGTCTGGCTTCAGATTTCAAGCACTGATCTCTGCTGGGAGGCTGAAAACCTTTCTATCATTCAATATATTTGGTAGGGGAAGAAACTTGTGCATTATTCATGTGGGTTTGTGCTAACATCACTTCCTTTTTTTAACTTCTTTTCCTACATATGACATTTCATGTCAGAAAAAACCTCCTTGATATGCTCCTGCAAAGGTTTGGAAAAGAATTGCTGCAACTGTGGAGGTAGAGCTGCAACTCCTGTAGGTGCACCCATGTTTGATAAAAGGTTATTTTGACTGGGTGCCATTAGGAGTTTAGTCCTGGCAGCACAAATCTCACTGTGAGCTCCCTGTGGCTGCCAGAGACAAGAAGTTTGTGTTTGCATGGCCGACCTTGCTGAACTTGCTGCTGGGACTTAACTGCTCCAGGGACCCGAACTTGCTAAAACAAAGCAAGTGTGGGCTGCAGTCTCCTATCACTGGGTATGAAGATATACTGCATTTCTTAATTTATTTCTCACTGATCCATATCTCTTGTCATGAAATTCAAATTACTTCTTACCACTTAGGAGTCAGCAAATTGCCTGTTTATTGTCTATGGGACTGATCAGAATGAAAATTCTGTGGAATGATATTGCAGGATTTTGAGTAAACAAGCTCACTTTTAGTAGTATTTGTCATATTTTTAACAGAATGCAAAGATTTAGAATGTACTGCTCTTTATTGATAAAACATATTACAAATAATAAGAATAATTAACTTGAACATTAGAGTCTGGTTATGGGAAAGAACAGAGCTCTACAGGGCTTTGGCATTTAAATATCTCTGTGGAACTGGCCTAGAATCTTGCACCTTGCCACATAAACGGTGGATTCATGGCTTCTGCATGCAGACACCAAATGAAATTCAGGATAAAAGAAAGAAAGTGGAGGAGAAGAATTTCTCTTGCCCAAAATATACTATAGGTGTGTGATAAAACACAACAGCCTATTGAGAGAAAGAGCAGAAATAAAAGTACGATAATGGTAGAAAAAGGACCAAGAGAATGGTCTTGGAATATGTGTAAAAAAAATTTTGACAGGAGCCACTACTGATGCAGAGAGAGATATTAATTCCTCCTTCCTGTTGAGGGCTAATAGGGTAGATGGTAAAATAACCTGGATAACTTTGCGTGTGGTGAAATTGAAATTCAAACTGCTGGAAAAGCTGATTTGAAGAGATCTGGTGCTTCAACAGATACATTTCTAAGTCCTCAGCACTGCAGGTAATGCTGGTTTTCCTGGTGTACTTAGGTCTGATTTTTTAACAGGCACTTCACAGGATGACTCTAATGTTACTCCACCAGGAAAAACATTTTTTTCAGCTGAAGTTCTTAACACAGCTGAAGTGATGAGGAGAGAGATGAGACCAAGAAGGTTATCTCCTATCCTTCCAGAATGGGCTTTGCTGCATAATAATACATTCTTGTGTTTGTCCAGTTTGACTTTAAATTATTCAAACTATGGGCATCCCTGAAGTAACCTGTTTTGTAACTTGAATCTCAATGAGCCCCTCATTTCAGAGAACAAACCCTGCTGAATGCCTCTGGGAGCTGCATGTGCTGATTTGGGATGGGATATGGGCCATGGAATATAAATTGTTCATGGCCAGCCTCAGGGCTTGAGAATGACCCTGTGATCTAAGCTGTGGATCTCAGCTTAAAACAAACCAGCTGGCCACGTGTGTACTAATCTCTCTCTGTAGGTGTTTTGAAGTTCTATCCTGTGAGGGCCATGGTGGGTATTGGTTTCAGTGGAGCCTGGGTTATAGCTGCTGTATTGAGACACCACTAATGGGATGACATGAGATCTGTGATTTGGCATTACTTTGCCATTCCTCTCAACTGCCAGTTTCCAGATCAATGTAGAGAGTAGTGAACCCCTTCCTTTTAAGAAACAAAGTCAATGGAAATCCCCAAAAAACCACTGGCCTGAACATCGATCAACTGTTGGTAGCAGGTAAGCAGGGCTTGTTTTTCAGCTTTAGCTGTGCAGGCCTGTTTTGCCATTTGGAACAGTCCTGTACAGCTTTCTTTCCCTCCTGGTAGCAAACATGGTACTTTTCTGCTCCCATGTTGCTGCTGGGAAGGTGCACAGGATATGGAGGCACTTGAAAGATTCCCATCATGGTTCCTGTTGCATCACAGGAGCAGGTAGTGTGTTATCTGGCAGGTCATGCATGTGCCATTCTGTGTTATGTGTCACGAACACGTAGACTCAGAGGAGCATTCAGAGCAATGCACAGTCTTAACTTCTCTACTGCTGCTGCCCCCCAGGCTCTTCCTGGCTCAGCACAGCAGGAGAAAACATGAGCTGAGCAGTGCACTGTCATGGAGAAATGGAGCAGGTAAGTATTGAAAAGGAAGATGTGCATCATTAATACTGTCAATTCCCAGCATCTATAAACTCAAGCCTCCACTATTTAAGTTTTGATTGAGATAATCAGGAGATTAAATGATTACAAGTCCCTTGAGGCCTTTTATGTTTTGCTTCTATAATTTCAGGTGTTAAGGTTCAGAAAGAAAGCTGGAGTCACCAAATAAATTCCGGTACTAAAACATAGCAGAATGCATACTGGATCACTCAAAAGGTCAAAATATTTTCTGCTTTCATCTCTTTGACAATTGCCAATAGCAGTTGCCTAGAGAAAGAATATTAGTCCAGTGTAAACAGACTGTGTAGCTCCCCCCATGTGTCCTCCCTGCAGCCTGTGGCCGAGGATGGTTCTGTGCCCGAGGCCATGCCACTGGATTTTTCACACAAACACATATAAAATTCTGGCATACACAGAATCCTGGGGCAATGAGCTTCACAGTTTAACTGTCTGCTGTTGGGAAGGGAAAGGAAAGAAGGAAAGAAGGAAAGAAGGAAAGAAAGAGGTCTTTTGTAAGAGGATAAAGTAATAAAAGCATTGCTGTTCCTACACATCTGAGCCCTGATGTGACCCTTCACTTCTTGCCCTACCCCTGCAGTGAAGCCAACAGTTCTGTGTTTCCATAAAGGACCTGGCCAGCCCCCATCCCCTTTCTTTCTGATAACCAGTAGGGTAGCCCCTTTTTTTGGGACACAGTGAGTGGAATAGTTTCCCTCATGTCCTAACTCAGTATATCAAGGAACAGGGCTCCCCTCTGCAGTCTAAATTACTGCCTAGAAAACAGAAACTGGGGCAGAGGCTGACCTTGTGTCTGGTCAGAGCAATCCATGGGTGCCATGCCATAAATTTGCCAAGCTACTCTAGGTGAGAAATGTGTTATAATTTACCAGCAAGGTGAAAACCTCATTCAGTTTCCCAAAATGGGGGTGACTAGTGAAGATCTGGATATTCTAGAGGTCTCTGGATTGCATTAGCAGTGTGTAGGAAATACATGGTGTGGGGAGGAGGCATAGGGAAGGCAGATGAAATTACCATGAAGTTAACGTGCTGCTTCCCAGGAAGGTGTGTGGGAGCCCAGATTTGCTGCATTTTTGCCCTCATGCTGTGAGTTTGTGCTGGAGTAGAGAGAGAAGGCACCAGTCTCTCCTAAGCAGTGTGACTCAGACTTGACTTTGATTTTCAGTGTTCAGGTGAGAGTTGTGTAAAATTCACGACTTTCAAGCTGCTATAGAATTTCTCCAAATTTCCAGGAAAATAGGTGAAGATAAAAGAGAGAGAAGACAAACTGAGAAAGTGAGTAACGGACAGTGCATAGAAAAAGGAGGAAAGAATAGATGCGTGTCGTTTCTTTTCATCCAAGTGGCTTTGCCACCAGGCTGGCACACTCCTGCATTGTAATGCACTTTTCAAGCTATGGGGTGGTTTGAAGCCACGTCTGGTATCAGAGACTGGAGTGAAAGTATAAAGCTGTCTGCCTTCTGCCCTGAAATTCACTCCTTGCCTTGGCTGTAAGCCACTAAACCACAATTAAAATAGCATGAACAGGATGTGTCACTGAAATGAAGATCACAGTGTTCCCTCAAACCCTCTGGTTGTGCCCTCTGGAGGCCCTGCAACAGAAGGTAAGCCCTGTGTATGGCTTGCATCCCTTGGGCACTGGTGTACAGGTAAAAGGCTTTACAAGCACAGCCAGAAATTTATGGCAGGAGCAGATGAGGAGACAAAAACAAGAATATAAAGCAAGTGACAGAACTGGAGACAAGACAATAACAAGTAAATTGCCTCTTCTTTTTTCTTCCTCATTTTCCAGCACTTTGGTACTAAGAACAGGCTCAGCCTTGTCAGCAATAAAGCAATGTTCTCTGTGTCTCCAAGCCATTCAGCATGTTGTCAGTAAATCAGCAATTTGATGATCATTGCAACAGAAGAAAACTCCTCTGCATTGGCACTGCCCTGTGCATTACAAGAGCTGATGGAGCTGTGCTGTGTGGACTCAGATGGCAAATTCAGGGCTGAAGCCACTGTCTGCATTGTCTGTTTTAGCTGTTTTTCTCTACAATTTCAGTCCTGATTGTTAGGAGACTGGTGCCACACGTAAAAGATTTTGGAGGATCCTTGTTTTTTGAGTTGCCTCCTGATGTTTCATCATCCTCAAGGCATCTGAGAGTGGCACAGCCCATCTCCCTGGCTAGTAAGACGGCTTATCCTCCTGCTATGGAATCTTTCTGTAGAAATCTGTGTTGAACTCAGTTTTCTAAGCTTGCAGTGATGGCAGGGTGCTCTGGCTTCTGCCACTGCTCCAAGTGCTGGTTGTGCCCCACATTTGCTAGTTTTATGGCACCTATTATCTGATGACACCTCTTCAGCTCCATAGTAGATCTGAGCCTCTTAAGTGTCACATTGACTAATTTTGAGCCTGTACCCACATCAACCTTAAGCTTGCATCAGTCATGCCCTCACCCCAGAGACACACCTGACCCTCATACGCCCTGCTGCAGCTGCTGGAGATCAGATTGCACATCCTGCCTCCTTGCCTTGGAGACAAGAGCTCCAGTCACTCCTCACGGGGCTCTTGGCTCAGCAGAAGAGCAGAAGACCCATATTCTCACTAGATGCTGTCTTAAGCACGTACTTAAACCTGAGCACATGTAAGCCCTTTGCTGAGTCAAGGTAAGTGAGAGCAAACTCCTGTTTCATGAATAGCAATGAAAGCCAGAAAACATTTTTAAGGGCACCATCAACTTGAAAATCCCACTCTGCCTGAAAATTTTATCTGTTCTAATTAGCGGTAGCACTGTGATTGAGAGAAAGTAGCAAGGCATAAAATGTCTCTCCTCCTAGGTTGATAATTGTTCTCTTGATTGTGCTTTTAGCTCTGTTGTTCTTACTGCTTTATTTGTTTTTTCATGCCTGCTTTGCCCTCGCCTCAGGAATCATAGAATCAAAGAGTTGTTAAGGTTAGAAAAGACCTCCAAGATCATCAGGTCTGACTATTAACCCAGCATTGCAATGTTCACCACTAAACCATGTCCCCAAGTGCCATATCCACACGATTTTTTTTTAACTCTTTTAGGAATGGTGATTCCACCACTTCCCTAGGCAGCCTGTTCCAGTGCTTGAACACCCTTTCAGTGAAGAAATTTTTCCTGCTATACAATCTAAGCCTCCCCTGGTGCAACTTCAGGCTGTTTGCTGGCCTTGTTCTTGCATGTGGCACACTCCTTGCCTTTGGCTGTGCAGGAGGGCACATGTCCAGAGCAGCTCCAAGAGGACTCACACTGCTCTTGCAGAGTTGGGTCTCTGCAGGTGTTCTGCTTTCCCAGTGAATCCCCTGAGGGAAGGGGAGCAGCCTTGCTGACTTACATGATAGGCCTGGGGAGCAAGCAGGCAGCCTCCATTGCTGAGCAATACCACCTTTCTCTCCCTAGCCCATCCACTGGATGAGGGTTAAGGGTATTTTTCATTTTTGGGTCTCTCGTGGCAAAGACAGGGAACTGAAAAGAATGGAATTAACTGACAGCTCTGGTGCTGGAAGCAGAGGGTGAGTTCTGGGGCAGAGGGTGAGTTCTGTCTTTCATCTGTTTGCCAGGGCTATTTCTTGCTTCTCTACTGTGTGTCATCATGTGGCCCCACAGACATTTGTGTAATGAGAGCAACAGAAATGTTCTCAGTTCAGTGTTTTTTTCCCCATCTGTTTCCAGTCTTTCAGCTATTGTCCAGTCCCAGCTGACTGCTCTGTGGGTCACCTAGAGCCAGTATTCAAGATTTGTCTGCAACTTGGCACCCAACTCTTCTTCCACGGTGCAACTCCCAGCCTGGGACGGGCAGGTTGGGATGCAGAGCCACTAGGCAGCATTTCTACTTGCCTTTCTACCTGCCCCTCCAGATGTGTCTCAGCATGACAAGCTTTAGCCTTGATGCTACTTAACAATCTGCAGGGAAAAAAACCAAATCAACTATTGAAAATTCTGGTAACTCCTCAGTTTTCAAAGAGAAACACAGTGCGTGCACCTGGAGGCTCTCAGCAGAGTTGCCAGTGCATCCATAAACTCTGGAAACTGCTCTAAAAATCCAGTGTCCCACTGATCTCTGCCCCTCAAGTCCTATTTTGTTTTTGGTGACTGCTTGGATTTTGGTTTATAGCAATCATAAAGTTATCTGTGCTACAACCACATAAATCATAGCATAGTGGGAGAGGAGCATACACTGTTTATATGGTTCAGACAGGAGCAGAGTTGTGTGCTGACATGATACCTGTTTGGCAAAATAATTAATCAAATGGCTTTAAACTTAGATGTTGAATAGGAAGTCTGAAAAAAGGCTTTTGCCAAAGATCTGGATTTCACAACTTTCCCATTGTCTGTGGAAGGCTTTGATTTGTGACTGTACAAAAGTGATAATTTTTGGACCCTGATTATGCCAATAATTTATGATGTCCATATTTATTTTTTTTTAACCAGCATGTCATGGTTATTTCAAAGTTGCAATGGCCCATGTGTAAAATGTGTATCTCTGCTCTGCAGGTGTGGGGCCAGAGATGGGCTCAAGGATGTTCTTCAGCCTGACTGGCTGAGACATCTGCTCTTGCAGTGGTAGAAGGATGAGGCTGGACAATAATTCTATAGTACTGTGTGATCAATCTGGAAAGAGTGGTTGTTTTCAGAGAAGAGAAAAAGGGTGAATACAGTATGAATTTTTATGTACCTAATGCACAGGGTAGGTAGCATGAAGATTTCTATGAAACAGAAGAAAAAAAGTCAGCATTTTTATTAATGCCTTAAGAGTAAATAAATAAAATCCAAAGCATATCACTGAATGGATTTTTGCTTGTATTTTTCATTGCAATCTATGTGCAAATAGGCAAACCCTTGAATGCTTATATATGCATGGCACTAATGGCATTTAGTCACCAGAGGGCAGGGTTTGCTGAGCAGAAATTCTTTCTGCTAAGAGAAATAAGGCTCAGAAAAGAGCTCCAGAGCCCCATTGGCAATGCTTTAATACTCTACACTACCAACACTCTGTTATACTCCCCCTCTGCTCCCCTGATTTAATTAATCTGTTCTCAATTTCAGGTTTCTTATTTAAATCTGCTTGGATAAAATTTATAATTCTTTCTGGGTTTCCACCTACAACATACCACTAACTTTGGTTCAGTTAAGCTATTTGGGATATATTTATGAGCTTTGTAGGTTCAGGACTATATAACTTTGAAAATCATTGTAGGTCATATTCTGTCTTTTGGGAAATGTTAAAAAAGTGACAGAGTTCAATGAAGTAAAATTGCAATATAGAAAGAGTCAAGGAGAATTTTTTTTCTGAGCTGAGGTCAGGAAAAAGGCAAAAACTCTTGCAGGAAGGAGTTTCAATTACAGTGAACAAGAATAAATTCTGGAATTTCTTGTCCTAGCACAGTAATATGCACCAGACAAAAAGGTTAGGGAGAATATTAAGTATGTTGGCAGTCTTTTACCTGAATCAGAGGTAAATGTATTTGAAGCTTTAAACCTTTCAGACTGAGTGTGGCAAATTATTGATCTATTTATGTTATCTGATGTTGATATGTAATACATGTAAGCAGCCTGCTAGTAGGAGAGTTTGTGGAACTACATAAAAGCTCCAGTGTTTTCTTTCCTTTGTTAAAAATTAGATTAAATGGCACAGTGCAAGGACTCATAGGTAGTGAATAAGAAAGCCAGTTCTTCTTAAAAATCCCATAAGGAAAAGCTGATTATATGTAGGGAGACTTAAATCTAAACCTGTTAACTTTAAAAATTTCCCTTTAGTGGAAATTTTCCTTCTCATACGTGGCTGAATTTTAATCAGGTTTACATGTGATAGGACATATGAAATGTGTGCAAGTGTGTTTAGAGGAAAATAAGGAGTCACAGCGACAACCATGGAACTGTTGTTTGTCATCTCTGAAATACTTGAGATAGTTTAATTTTGTTTTAGCCTAATTCAGCTTTCATTAAACTCTGTAGTGTCTGTTGTTGCTCAGTGTGTATTATTGGATGGATTTTGTAATTTGTCAAGGCAGTTAAAGTCTCTATTAATCTGAGGAAGTGCTTTAAACATGCCTAACATAGGGGGTATGAGAGAATTAGCTACTGCAGCTCTTTTAGTTTTCTGTCTTCTGATGAGAGCTGCTCCACTGAGATGCCACTGATCTGCCTCAAATAAGTAGAAGAAATTCGGGAATAGCCAGATTCTTGGAGGGGAATGAATATTTTGGAATAGTCACATCCTCAGGGGGGAATGAATATTTGGTCTAAGAGATCCTAGTCCTTTTG